AAAGCACACTACCCGGGGCTCTATCACAAAGTACTATAAGGTCTGGCAACCGTTTCTGTCCTACTTTGAGAACGAATTCTCTGACATTAAAACAACGTTGCCAACCTCCCCCTCCCTTTGTTTTTATTTATTTACGTTCTCATTTTTACTCTTGGTTGAGATTCTTCAAGTTTAGTGGAACGCCATATCCTTTCAAGTTGTCTCGACTTTTGCTTTATTTTGCGGGTTTCGGCATTATGCCATGGAGCTAGTCTATGTTGTTTTATTTTGTTCTTTTTCAAAGGAGCAACAGAGTCTAATTTTATTCGCAGCGCACCTGTAGCACTATCAACAACATGATCAATTTGGGGTGGTGTACATTTTGTATAAGTTTCCTCCCTTACATACAGACATGCTATTGAGTTAAGTATTGATGGAATCTCTTCCTTAAATTTGGCTATAGCACTAACAGATAGGTTTCTGCTGCAGGAGCTTTTGACTAATGGTTTGTAGTCTAGTAACAGTACTTCAAAAGTTACAACAAAATGGTTGGATAAAGCAGGATTATGTGGTTGGACTAATAGTTGCTAAATTTCAATACCATAAGTCAGAACAAGGTCGAGTGTGTGATTATTACATTACATGTCATTTGTTAGACGCTTTTATCCAAAGCGACTTACATACATTCAGGACTGTGGACAACCCCCACAGGAGCAATTTGGGGTGAAGTGTCTTGCCCAGGGACACAACGACATGCTGACTGTAGTGGGACTCGAACTTGCTAACCCGATTCAAAGTCCAGCACTCTATCCACTGAGCCACAGCCACACAGATTATAGTGGGTTGGTTTATTTACACTCTGACGGAAACCAATATAATCTAATATAGAGTTAAAGGTGGGGTAGGTAAGTTTGAGAAACCGGCTCGAGATACACTTTTTGTTATATTCCATGGAATGCTCTTAACATCCCGATAGCAATGAATATCTTAAGTGCTTTGACAAAAAATCCATAAAAAAATGTCATCTGTGGAAGCCGTAGTACTGTAAAAAGCACGACCAATCATTTTAGCCGGCCCGGCTAAAATAACTGGATGGCCTACCTGCCTGTCAGCCTTCCATCTGTGCACAAACTTATCTCGTGCCCTCATTGGTCATGTGCACGTTCGTGTGTGTTGGAGGAGGGGCTCTATAAGGAAGTGGCAGATTTTCTTCGGTTGTGTATTTTCAAATTCTAGCGATCTCGAGCCGGTTTCTCAAACGTACCTACCCTACCTTTAAATGCAACAGTAAGGCTATTTTTATCGTCGTCAACATGAATATTAAAGTCAACTACGATAATTACTTTATCTGTTTTAAGTACCAAAGTTGATAAAGAATTCTGATAAAGTTATATTGGCTGCAAAGTTTTCCAGGTCGGATGCATAAGACTAAAAACAAGGCTTTCAAAGGAGGTATAATTTAATTTTAGTATTGATAAGTAAACTTGAGTCAAACATGGCTGCACACCAGAAGCCTGTACTACGAAGCTGGTTCAACCTAACCTGGATATGTTTGAGTTAGCCGGTTGGCCCAATCCAAAACATACGCGCTCTGGCTAAACTGTACTACGACGCTGGTTATCAAGTGGATCGCTCAAGCCAGCCGTGTCCTTAGGTGCGCGTTCACATGAAAGGGGTGGTATTTGGAGCATTCGACCAATCTCAAACACGGACAAGCGTACTGACAGCGCAGCGTCATACTTCCTGAATGAAAAGTGAACTTTAATATTAGTCAAATATGAAGAAGTTAAACTTTAAACATCCATGACTTAAACACTTTATCCAGGATAAAAGCCACATAGCTGCACCTGCAAGGTGAATACAGCTGGTAAAAGAAAAAGTGTTTGAATGCGTACATTAACAGGTTTATGAAATCACTGCCCCGTCCAAGACACGAGTGGATCTGACTTTAATTACATTTGACTCGAGTGTTTCGTCAACTTAATGTGTTGCTTAAAATAATACTTCTGCATACAGTATGTGACACTGTGAGTGTTGCACGGCCAGATACGGCTCAAGAAGCTGACTCAAATAAGGAAATATATGATACATTATGATGTGATATGATATGAACAGTGGCGTTTTTATATGTACAAAAGTGGTGGGGCACAAAAAACTTAGATGTCTATAAGCTTCTGCAGTAACGTGCAGTGAGGTTCATGGCTGGTGAGGCACTGGCACTGACTCTTCAGGTTTACAAATATTATATTTTGACCTAAACCAAAATATAATATTATTTTCAAAAGCTTTTTTTGTCTGATGCTTCGATTAATTTTAAACAGACAGTTCAACAAAAGGATACCCAAAAAATGTAATTTTATCATTTAAATATTGAATTGTTCTCTCTTAGTAAGATCCCATTTTCAATAAAATGGCGGTCTTACCTTGACTTGAAGATGAAGTCCATTTGCCTATCCTTCTGGACAAACATTTCTATTACTTTTTTGTAAAAGTCCTCCTTATGTTCTTGTAGTTTCAAAAGTCTATCATAAATCTAATCCATAGATTTATGATAAAAAAATTATAAAAGTAGGGTAGACATGTGGATGTTATCCGGCTAATCAAAACGTGCATTTATCTAACAGGTACGTTTCCCACAGATCTTATTTCGAGCTATTTTCTAAAATCCTCTGGAGAAATCTCATTGCTTTTTTGTCGAGGGAAGCCATGCGCAGCTTACTTCCTGGTTTTAGGACGCGCCACTGCAGCTCTCTCGTCTCCTCTTCACACAGCACACTTTTCGCGGCACACGTACTTACAGCCAATCAGCTCTGAATGATTTGAGACGACGTATAGTGGGGATGGTAGCTCCATGCCCCTCTGGTCATTATTTTTTTGCCACACACATTTCATTACAAAATACTCTGAGCATGCGCAGTGTAGTTTTTACAGTCACCGTTGACTTCACAGCGAGAGGAAGGGGCATAATCAGGTTTTGTCCCACATGGCTCTAAACAGCTCAATAGGCACACACTGTGACTGTAGACACACTAATTAGAAGAACACAGACTAAAACAGCAATGTACAGACGAATCAGATGATTAAACATGATCTTAAAATATATTTTATATATTTTTTTATTTTATTTTTTGCATTTTTGTAATCATTATTTGTAATACTTTCTGCTGACACTAGGTGGGGCTGTGCCCCACCTGCCCCTAATGACCAGTCGCCACTGGATATGAATGATAATGGGACACATCGACGTCTGCACTCACATACCCCTTTCACACCAAGGCTTTTCCCCTTCTAGCTCCGTGCTAGAGCTTTTCTGGTTCAGAACCGGTTCTTCGGTTTAGCGCCGGCTCTTTTCACACCGCTCAGAGCCCGACTGGTGCTGCCGCTGCTGCGTCATGACGTCACAGTTTACGTCGCTGAGTTTCTCCCCAACGGAGCTCACCTCACAACAACAACGGGCCGGGGACTGTGTCGGGTCGATCATCGTGTTGCTTTTAATCATACGAAGCCAGATTAAATTAAATAACGACTTCTCCAACCTTATACTTTTCTCCAGAGTGCCGTGGTTCATTGTTTATTAATGTGTTTCAGCGGCATTTACCGACCGCTGCAGTGCTGACTGCTCTTCAACGGGAGTGTATTCTCCCGTTAGCTCCGGGTTAGCTCACACGGCTCTAAAGTATTCACTGTCTGACTGTCACACAAGCAGCTGGTACATATCCCCAATTCCCCTTAAGTGAATGTGTGTCAGTCTGAATTGACGCTGTTTGGCATCACAACGCTGTTATGAAAGTTTCTCTGGTATAACATGGGTGATGTTAGCATAGCAACCGAAGCTAAACTGACTACTTGCTAAGCCGTTTTATACAGGCACTTTTTACCGGCGTATTTTTCATTATGATTCTACTTGTGATAGTCGGACATGACAACCTGTGCAGCCCATGTATTGATTCCATCCGATAGCTGCTATAATAACAAACAAAACGTCTGCCTGCTCTCCACAATGATCAATAACAGCGAACGGATGGTCAAAGTAAGGTACAAATAAACAGAATCACACGAAGCCTGGTTAGTGTTGCCTGACTTTATAAAGCGTGTTTTTTTTTTTACAAGTGTGTGGTTGCGTTCTAGTCACTTTGCTCAGCACTACTGCTTGTTACAACTTTTATTTGCCGTACTCTCCTTAACTGTTATCTCAGGTTAATCTCGCCCCCCTCCGACGTAAGCGGTTCTTGCTTCTACACGGACAACTTTTTGGTGCTCGAAACGAACCGGATTCCGGAGCTTAGAGGCTGCTCCGCTGCGGTGTGAACAGGAAAACCCGGTGCTTTTCAAGCACCAGCACCGAACCGGCCCCGAAACACCGTTGGTGTGAATGGGGTAACAGTGCCGCGGACTGTACTTAATGTTACTCTGATTCGGTTACTTATGTCGTGGCAGATATTTAAGTAAGCTTTCTTAACGCTAATATTATAATAGTCAGATTGCTCTGAAGATGGGAGGGGATATTCTATTAATTTTCACGTTCACATAGTCAGTTGATTTTGGCCGGCCGTCTTTCCTGCAACGGCAGTTTTTCTGTATTTCCTCTATCCTGTAATATGAATTGATCGCTTTAAACTCCGCACACGGAGCTCTGATTGGTCAGCAGGCGGTGCTTTCACTGAGTTGATCTCTTAGCCTGCCACCTAACCTGCTCCGGAGCAGGTTTGTCGCTCAGCATAAGTTACCATGGAGATCTAGCCCGCTAAAAAGAGAACCAGCGTCGTAGGACCGGAAAGCCCGAGATTTCCCTGAAGTTAGCCGGCTAAGCGAAAATCCAGCTTCGTAGTACAGGCCTCAGGTTTAAAAAAAACTGATGAATGAAAAATTCAGAAACTGTACAAGATAAAGTTAAAGGAATCCCGGTACATCCTGATTACAAGGTAGAAGAAATGACATTTAAATATAGTCTTCCAAAATCTACAAAACTAACCCCAAATTGTGAAGGAAAAAACAAAGAAAAAGAGAAGCCATCCGTGGGATCATTTTGCAATTTCTTTCTTTTATTTGTCTTGTCAAGTCCCAAGTAAAACAAATCTTTATTTTCAAACAATTACTTTGCAAAACATACATTATTCCCCTTATCAATTAAAATATCTGGTACTGTACTCTACCCACATTTAAATATGAACATTTAACCCTGTGTACCTCTCAATCCAGCCCTCTGGTGTTCTGTGTAAAAATAGAGTACAGCCCACTTACAATAAAAAAAAGACTAGTAGTTTTCTTTACAATCATCGGTCAATAAGGCCACATGCCTCAGTGGTGCAGCATCCTCACAATCACTTTGTCAGCAAAAAAGCAGTAAATATAAACATTTTGTGACAATTAGTCATTTCAATGTAACACTATTGTCGAATACAACTTATGTTCTGTTGAAAAAAAAAAAAATCATCTGATAATGAATGTTTTGCTTCCCGTGCCCCTGACAAATAAGAAACTCTATTTAACAACAAATAAGCAGCTGGTTGAAAAAAAAAGATCCTTTTGGACTCGGATCGTCTCCCCATTGATACTGAAGGATCAAATATGTTATTATAAATAACATTTAGTTTCTCTAAAGTAAAACATAATACTGAAAATCAATGATAAGATACACACACAAATACACAAAGCAACCTTTAAAAAACACGTGAAAATGTTACAATTAATTACTTTCCACTTCCCTAAAACAACAGTAAAAGATATGAAGATAGAACAAAAAGGATGAAAACATTAGGACAATTCATTAAAAAGAGGATCAGTGTTGCACTCTGAATCTCGTTATACTCTGTGTACAATGACAATAAAAGGCTTTAACTTTGACTTAGTGTCTATACTGTGGAAATTAAGCCACAAAAACCTGGTTTCTTCTCATCGATACCGACAATTTTGGTAATTTTGGTATAACGACCAAGCTTGCTGCAGAATATAAACTATATAAAACTACAGTAGATGTTGATCTAATGAAAATATATTGCAAGTTCTGCTTTTCTCCTGTAAACAACCAACATGATTCAAATATAACAGTAAAGAAAGGAGGCAGCTTTCAGTATAACATGATTCACACAAAAATGCTTGAATATTAACAGACCAAAAATATCTTCCTTTTTAAACATGTGAACATAATTCTTTATCTACTTAAAAATGCTTAAAAGTCTCAAGGGTTTATGCCATATTTGGATTACGTAATCAGCACCTTTATGTCATTGATGAATATCTTTCCTCCTGCAAAACTCTTTTGCACGAAACTAACCAGAGGCCGGTCTCTGCTCTTCAACTGGCTTCTTTTACCATTCCAAGCTGAGATGTGTTGCTGGTCGCTGGTTCGTAGCAGTGTTAACAATCACTGAGTAGTTTAGGCAATAAGGAAGGATTGTCAGTGTCTTTAAACTCCTGTTGGTGGAGGAGTTCAGGGGAAATAATAACAAACTAAAGCACAGAGCTGAAGGGATCACAAACATCCCTCTTTTGTGTCTTTGGAGGACAGAGTGACTGCTAGCTGTGCACACAATCTGCAAGTGTTTCTCGATTGCACAGGCGACAAATAGCTTTTTGTGGCAGTGATCCACAAAAGCCCCAAAAAGGACTGCATAGTTCATTTCAGCTCAACCATTTCTTATAAAGCACGTAGTGGGGGAAATCCTCCACACAAAACATAACTAACGTCCCTTATCTGAGTTGCATCATCTCTGGAGAGTCAGGGGAGGATGGGGAGGTGGAGGATGTGGAGGAGATGGAGGATATGGTCAGAGGAGGCAGCTTCTCACAGGCAAAATATTCCTTGAGGGGAGCGAAGAGGTGGCGGATGACGGGCACGCTCCACGACTTCCCCAACACCTTCTGCCTCTGCTGCCGGGTCATGTTCCTCACGTCCGTGTAATGTTTGGGGAAACCAAAGATCCTGGAGAAGAATAAGGGACAAGATCTCATCAGTCAAAGTCTCAGGGTGTTACATTTAGATATGCAACAATATATTTGATTATTTCTATCAACAGAAATATGACTAACATAATGAACACATAAAAGTGTTTTTGAAAAGAAAAGAAATAATTGAAAGCAGGGAAGACCAACAGTCTTCTTCTTGTCATTTTAGTGTGCAGCACATTTAGCTTGTTACCTTTGATTAAAAATACACAATCTTTAATATATCTATAAAGATGCTTACTTTTCTAGTTCAGTGATCCAGAGGCTGTCCTCCCTGCCGTTGTTGAGGACGGGCAGCAGAGAGGACGGCCCTTTGCCCTGCCTTAGAGAGTTTGAATTGGTAGTGATCGTCCTCACCTTGGTGACCTGGAATAAAAACCACACAGACAGAGTGATTATTTGTATCTTGATGAATACCACAATCATATTTGTTTTTTGGTTAAAATAAAGTCACATTGAGCGAAATAACGAAATGTGATGCAGCGGGTTCAGTCACTGACCCTAGCTTCTCTTCCGATCTCTAAACAGTCCTGCAGAATCAGCTTGTCGTTCTGGGACGCTATGATGGGCCTGATGGGGGGAAACATTTAAGAACATTAAACAAAGCAATGAGACAGCAGTTCAGAGCAAAGAAAGGGCAACAAAGATCATGAGTAAAAACTATAGAATACTTATGTGTTAACAATAACATATGACTCTTATCAAATACATAGTCTGACACAATTAGTTGTGAGTTATTCAACCATTATAAATTATGTTTAATTGAAAGTCTCACCTGCTCATCCCCGGGATGTTTCCCCAGAAGTATCGCGCTCTGTGAGCAGGGCTAACTTTGACTGCATCCACCAGCACCGGGTTGCACTGTTGAAGAATCACATAATCACATAAGTCATTGTTGAGAAAAACACTAGAGCTATGAGGACAGCAGGAAGGGAAAGAAATGGGAAAGGAAAAAGTAACAGTTACGGCCCCTACACACGGCGGCGTGCGGTGACTCTTCAACGCTTCTGCCCATTCACTTTGAATGGGGTGACATCACGATTCGCCGAACTGCATTCTGGGAGCAAAGCGTAGCTTTCCTCGCGGTGCTCGCTGCAAAAGTAGAGCAATGTTCTACTTTTGAAGCTGAGGCGGAGGCGGCAGCCAATCAAATCCCGCGTATGCAAATCTGACAGTTCAAGCGCTAGCCAATCAAACCGCGTGTATGCTGAGAGAGCCAGACCGCAGTTCATTTCCTCATATGCCAAAAAATGGACGAGAAAATAATCGTAGCGGTAGGGAATCACCCGGTGCTTTCAGTCCCTGTTCACCTACCGGGATACAAACCGGAGGAGCCAGGCATGGAGGGAGGTGGCAGAGACAGTGGGTGAAACTGGTAGGTTTTCGCCTGTTTGGGGAGTTTATATCCAGTGTACTTCGTTTGAATGGACAGCAGGCATAGACAGTATATTTAGCCACCATGCAATGTTGCATAAAATAGCACCATAGACATTAATTAAAAATCGCTTTTTAGACATTAATGTCGATGGTGAGATTCATACACGGGAGCCTTTTTAAAGCCTTTTTACCCCGCTGCAAACAGAAACCCCCCCCCCCCCTTCCCATCACAAACTTTACACAGACCCCCCCTTCCAATTATCAACTCCTGTCTTGTTTCCGCAAACTCTTGTGTCCTGCAGCAGCTAAAAGTTTTGCAAGCCCCCGTTTGTTTAGTACCTAAAATAATAGACATCGCTTTTTCCAGCTGACAAACCCGACTTTCTGGTCACTTCTTCAATTTTCCAGCCCTTGGGGAGAGACACGGGAGATTCATGTGATTGGTTGTTGGTCGCGTTGCTCGCGTAAACTCCCCAAGCTCAAGACACGCCCACCGCCAAGCGGCAACGCACGCCGCCGTGTGTAGGCTGCGTAACGGCCCGTCCACACAGCGGCGTGCGTTGAAGCTTCAACGCTTCTGCCCATTCACTTTGAATGGGGTGACGTCACGTTTCGCCGAACTGCATTGTGGGAGCGAAGCGTAGCTTCAAAAGCGTTACTCGCTGCAAAAGTTGAGCAATGTTCAACTTTTGAAGCTTCGGCGGAAGCGTCAGCCAATCGAATCATATGCCAGTACAAGCTCTAGCCAATCAAACCGCGTGCTTGTGTGTCCGGGGCGGGAGATTCATGTGATTGGTTGTTGGTCGAGTTTCAGCCCCCCCCCCCGCCGGCAAGCTTCAACGCACGCCGCTGTGTGGACGGGCCGTAAGAGAAGGAGGAGGAAAGAGCTCAAGATAAAAATAAATCAAATGCATGGTGCCCACCTCGAGGAAGCGGCAGATGTTGACTTTGTCATGTGTGTTCATGAAGACGACGTTCTCAAAGAGCCAGAAGAACGGCCTGGGGTCTTCCTCCTTGGGCTTCAGCAGATGGAGGATGCGGTAGTACTCAAAGAACAGCCTGCCACTGCCCTCTGCAGGAGAGAGGAGGGGATTACAGCAAATACATTGACCATATGTGCAATAAATGATTATGAAGTTAGAAACATGCATTTTAACTTGGCATTTTTAATCGTTGACAACAAATGTATTTAGTGCTGAAACACATACACAACAGTAACGTACCATAGAGGCCTTTTCTTAAATGGTTGACGATGGAGAGGTCGTTACAGGGGCTGCCACCGATCAGCATATCAAACGGACCCCACTGCTCCAGCTGGAGGTCAAAGAGGAACACAGAGATGGTTTGGTTCAGTATTGAGTCAAGATATATCAAATAAGATATGACTCAAAACAACAACAAATGAGAACTTCAAACAAAAGACAGTGTGAAAGGTTGCAAATGTACAGAAAATGAACATACGTGTTTCTGGGTGATGAAGCGGGCGTCTCCAACGTGGATGATCTTCCCGTCGTGGTTGACGGTCGCCACTGCAATCGAATCCTCACAAATCTCTGAAGCATAACATGTGTCTACTTTGAAGCCGAGTTCCTTCAGCACCAGGTAGCCTGAACACATACAGAAAGACACACATCAACATGCTGTAAGCCTGGAAAAGAATCAGGAAGACTTGTATAATCAGAGTTTTGATGAATGATCTTATCATGAAATACTTAATAAAGAACTGATAAGGAACAGGTTTCCCAAAAGCATGTTAGGGCTAAGATAATGGTGAAATCCATCTTATGAACCTTCATTATTTTACACAGTATTTTCCTTTTAGATATTGTTACTGAAAATAAACTCCAAATGATCAGAGATTGTTGATTAACGACAAGAGGAGCTCAAGAACCTGCCGGAGAACCCAGAAGAAAAAAAAATCTATAAATAATGTGTTATTAATTTCTAATGAATACTCATGGTCATTGTTAAGTTCCCTTTGATTTGAAGGAGAAATTATTTAAATGAGAAATTAAGAAAATCTCTCTACTTCTTCTCCAGTTTACAACACATTACATTACATTACATTTCATTTAGCTGACGCCTTTATCCAAAGCGACTTACAATTACCAATTACAGGGACATTCTCCCTGGAGTAACTAAGGACTAAGTGCCTTACTCAAGGGCACACTAGTGGTGGTGTTCCTGGCGGGATTTGAACTCACAATTCCGATCTTCAGCCCACCTGACTATCCATTAGACCACCACTATCCCCTATTACATTACATTTAGCTGACGCTTTTATCCAACGTTTACAACACATTCGCTTTTTCCTGTAAGTATTTTTATTGTTTACAGAAAGTTAAATGTGTGTGTTCACTAACCTGTTGCTATGCCATCAAACAGGGACAGAACTTTGATCGGTCTCCTCAGGTTTGCAGGGATGGACGGGTAAACACGGTGAGGCTCCTACAAGATAAAAAAAAAACAGCAACATAATATTAAAAAGGAGATTTGTCAAATCATTAACTTGTTGATTGACAGAAAATGAATTGCTAAAATATAACCACATATATAACTGTGTTAGACATGAACAATTGTTAAAACAAAAGCTCTGTAGATCACTCACAAACTCCATGGCACTGTTGTTGGCGAATAACTCCTGAACACGGATGCTCCAGTCCTCTCTGGGAATCAGAGCGCCGTGCGGTCGATGAGGCTGACACAGGAAGCAGATCCACGGATCCAGCTCCGTCAACGAATCAAACGTCCCCGCACCGACCAGGATGTCCATACAGTCCGCGCAATAGGATCTGCAGATGGAGAGGTAGAGCAGAACGGGTTGGAAAGACAATTAATGAAGAGTCTGAAATACCTTTATCTAGGGGTCTCTCAGACAAAAACAGTTTGTAGTTCTTGTAGCCTTAACTTCATAACTTACAATAAGATGAGTTCAAAAAAAGCTCCTATCACTGAGGTTGTCTGGCTAATTCAATCATACTTAAATTAAAATAAAATCTCACTTTATGATGCATTAACTTGGTGGTTGGGATGATCCACCATGTACCAATTTTGCTAAGCTTTAGCAAAATTGTAATATCTTATTATGAATGTCTCCACTGGATAACTGTGTTGCGCAAAGCATGCAATTCATGAAAACATATTTTATAAGTCAGAGCAACTACAGGGGGTAAAGAGCATATGATGCCATTGACAGGCGACAAAATAAAACACACCTTGATTAAAATGACATATTTCTTAGGTTGGAACATTATTTGAAACATGTTGGATTTAAGTACAGAGCTCACCTACATTGGTCTGGTCGTTCTAAGATACTTTAATGCAGATGTGTTCCACACTGTATTTCACTTTTAGACAAATAAAGAAAACCTTTTATTTATATAGCTAATAAAACTTAAGAGAAAGAGATTAACCAACCTGCAGCAGCTGTCGTTGCCACACATTATGACCTCCATTCCGTAGCAGCAGATGGTGCAGTAGGACTGATATCCATCGTCATCGTACCGATACAGAGTTTCTGTTAAGTTATTCTACAGGGACACAGACAGCATCACAGACACTGGTTAGGGACGGTTTAACAGAGGTAGAGCACAGGAGAAAGAACAGTGCAAATGCACTTTGATCCCTCTGAAAAATCAATTCGGATAGTGTGTTATCTAGGGGGAATGTTTCTTCCTATTTCACACACATATTCACAGCACAATGGTAACGGCTTGTTCGAAACATTAAGACAAGTTGATGATTCCTTACTTTACAATTCACACAGAGGCTGCCTTTAAAAAGAGGGTGAAATATCTCCACGTCTTCAGTACCACAGCACAAACAAAAGCCTGCAGACAAAATACAAACAAAGACACAATGACTACATTTAAAAGCATGCCTTTCATGTTATACGATAAATATGTTTCAAACCTTAGAAATCATATAAACCTAATAATAGATTACCTCACATTCATTCATATAGAACTGTGCACATAAAATCGACTAATTAACTGCTCACTTCAATATTCTCCGCTACAAAATCAAAGAAACTAATTACATCAAAAAGGACATACAACATGCCTAAGCTCTTACCCTCAATGTCCAGCTTTAAGTCCATGATCCTACGGATGGCACTCTCTGTAAGGAAAAAAATAAAATCAATATATCAAACACAAATCTAGTACTCAGATATACGTATACAATATACATTTATTTTTGTTTTTCACGAATGTTCCTTGCTTAATAATTGCCTCCATTTACACCGTTTTAATTATATATATTTTACATGACCTGTTTTACATCTGTGAATGAGAAAGAAAATGAAAGATTTAGATTGTGATGAACTACCTCTGCGTTTCTGGTCCGGCTGTGTGTACGTGCTCGACGGATGGTTGACTTTATTGTACGTTTTGGCGTAGTCCCTCGTCTTGAAGGGCACATAATCCGGTGACACATCATCATCACAAAGATCATCAGACGGACTGAATTTCTTCTTCTGCACCTTCCCTCCTTTACTCCCTCCCTTACCGCTCCCTCTCTCCTTTTCCAATACTCCTCTCCAGTCATTCCTCTCCCCCTCCCATCCTCCTCTAGACACCTTCTCTTTCGCAACTCCGTTATTGGATTTCCCTGCAAACTTAAATCCTTCTTCCAATGTGTTTCCATTTGCAGGTCTGTGGGAGTACTTCTCCAGCGACAGTCTGTTTAAGCAGATTGACACTTCTTTCGTCAGAGTGCTGAGGATGTTGCTCTTGCTGCTTATCGGGGGTGAGGAGCTGATGGCCGTGTGAGAGGAGATGACCTTCGAGAAGAGTTTCTTCATCACTTTTGGCCTGTTGTTTGTTTTAGTTACACCTAAACAGGAGACAATAATAGAGGTGAGCATCAGATATTTTACACAACAGTAAATAAGTTATATTTATAGGTAAATACAGTAACATGATGTATGTATACAAGTCTGTGAAGCGGTTTTCTTTAACAAGATGCTGTCTGGCAACACTCCAACTTTTTCTCTATCTTGTTGTATGAACTTGTCACAGACAACAATGGCGCACTTCCTCACTTCCACGATTAGCCAAGTTTCCGTCCAAATGTATTGGAAATTGTAACCGAATTTTGAGAAAAATGGCAAAAGAAATCGGAAGGAACTGGAATACCAACATGCAATTACGAGTTATATATTTAAGTTATTGTAACATTGCAGAAGAAGAGGGCGCAACAAGATGAATTAAAACAGTGCCGGTCGAACCTCAAATGTTGAAAGAAGCATAGAAAACATTATGGAAATATGACATCTGTTTGTTTCATCTATTAATGAGTTAAATCTGTTGCTTCATGTATTCAGTGGAGAGGAAGATTCAGTTGACGTTGAAGTTAAATGATTCATGTATGCCATCATTTATGTGCTGAATCTGTTTCTACTTCAGCCAAGTGTAAACAACCTTTCCACTCCACATCCACCTGCTTTTATGCACATTTCAATGTGTGCATACAAACAGTGGATGGGAAATCACCTGAACATGGTGACCTTCTAAACTGCCATCGGTGTCTGGAGTCCATGGTCACCTCTAGCGTCTTTGAGTTAGAGAAAAGCGCTATAGAAATATAATTTATTATTATTATTATTACCTCCTTCATCACCACCTGGTGTTGGTGGAGGGCAGACTGCAGCGCATCACTCACTGAGCAGAGAAGATGATTGGCTGCAGGACCTGTCGCCTCCAGGACTCTGAGGCGGGCAGGAGAGATGGAGGCCGAGCCCTCCAAGGACTAAAACCTCAAAAACACTTCCTGTAGCTGGCCTCATCAACAGGGCCGGAAACACCGCGACCCAGAGTTAAAGCACCCCCTCCCCCCAAGTACGTTGCACATCTTTTGGAGTCATATCTCAGCATATTTCACACATGCTTTATACTGGTAATCGTTGCACAACCCTATATTCTGCACATAACCGTACATATCTTCACAGACATTCTTCACATCTTGTTTATTGTATTTTTATTTTCCCTTACTATGTTTATTGTTATGCACCAAAACAAATTCCTTTTATGTGTAACCTTCTTTACAATAAACCTGATTGTGATTCTGAAGGGCTTTTTACACGTTAGCTCGAGTCCCCGTGTTTGAACTCCTATGTGCTTTTTGATGCACATTTATATTTCAAAAAAGAATTGTGTGCTTGACTTAAAAGTTGGGAGACCGTGAACACTTAATGAAGAAGCAGTAACAGGTCATTCTCTTCCAGAAATGAGAAGACATTTGTAGTAATCCTCAAAGAAAACTGAATAAACTCAACAGTTAAAGTGGTTGAATCCATGTCTAGATAAAAAAATATCAATGCTGTTTTTGTTGCAAACACTGTGGACATATTTTTAGCAAAGAGAACAGCTTAAAGCTAGAACAAATGTACACTTATAGAGTGCTGGTCATGTTATTAAATATGAAAGAAACCTATGAGATACAATGATGAAAGTACCCAGTCTGCTGCTCCAGTACATTTTTAATAAGAGCTGTAGTTGTTGCTAACACATTCGAAACAGAAAAGTTTCAAGGTATAATTCTATGGAATTGCTGTACAACTCTACTGAAATAGAACATTTTATCAAAAAGACAGATACAAATCCATTAAAAAATTCCATTTCATTGAAAACCATTAACATACCGAAATGCGACAAGGCTAGCAGTTAGCTGATGTTCAGACTTTTGCTTTCAATAGTGCTGTCCGGAAAAGTGTATTCAATATACAACAAAAGCACAGTAAAAGATACATATGAATACATATGAATGCTTAATTGGTGTCAAATGCCTCTGAGAAAAAACTCCTTTTACCCTCCACAGTCTGAAAGCAGTGATACATCTATTCAGGCAGTGATACATCTATTCAGGCACTTCCTTCAATCCTACCATTTGAGGCTGCCGTTGCTTTGAATCCGCCCGGCCCCGAGGGCAGAAACCCTCCGAGGGCCCAGTCCAACATCTGCTTCAGCAGCTCGTCGCGGTCCTCATCAGACGCAGGAAACGGCTTCTGACAACGCAGGGCTGCCTCCTAAAAGGCATGGATACAAACATGTTAGCAAGAGCACAAATCTGCTTCACATATGTGCATTTTTTAGGATCCCATACACATGTTATATGTTGTGTGGGCGGTCAAGTCAACAACATATTTTCAGTTTATGTTTATCAGGAAATACACAGAGAGACTCTCAGACCTTCAAAGACAAGAAGATGGATTCTCGGTAGGTGTCGAGGATGGCGAAGGAGTTGGAGGAGAAGTGCTGGGCGAAGGAAGCGAGCGGTTTCAGAGCCTGAAACTTGATCTGGAACCAGAGTTACATTTATTCAGTTACTATAAGTAGTGCATGGCAATGTGTTGACAATAGACAATATTTCAAACTCAAACACATTTTAAAACTATATGAAAAATAGTTTAAAAAAGATTTGATTTTGATACTAGGATTCTCTTATTTATATAGATTATCATGGAGCATTTTTGAAGGGAGACTGAGAATCTAAAACTGTCATTGCCTAAACTTGTTAGTGGTTTAAAAAAGCTTTCCAATTAAAGATCTGTTTGAACAGTGGTTATAGATAGTATCCGGTACTTTATTTGGCTGCATCTTAGTCTGGTTACAAGCATCTGAGCAGAGTTAAAACCATGCAGACCACTGATTGGTCAGAGATAATTACCAAGCTAACGTCAATAGCATAGTAGTTTTAATTCAACCGACATGGAGTTTTATAAAAATACAACCCATAAAGTTTTGCTCTCAGTAGCTCTTTCCGTGCAGACAATTAAATTAGCAAAATAAACAGCGATGTACTCAGCCAATCACATTTTGCCTAACCCTTAGTGTCACTATGAAGCGTTTATGATTATTGTAACAACCTGCAACGTTTTACCGCTCACATCTGACTCACCGTAGAGGACATGTTCTGTCCGTACCACGACACCATCCTCCACTCTGGATCTTCCTTCTCTTCCTTAGATGGGACAATGACGGCTGGCCAGGAAGCAAAGCCCTCCACCAGACCCCAGACCAGCTCCCCCATCACATCCTGGACAACACACACAAACCTTTAATGCCACCAAACTTAACAAGCAAAAAGGTGTTGTTAGAATATGAATGTATGAAGAGATAAATGCAGGTTTGATTTGTTGTATTAAAAAATGCTCATCGGGATGAACTATTTTTACCGTTAAGTCTGCAGTCTTGGGTGGTGTTCTTGTTAAAATGATGCAGTCGCTGTCTTCATCATCGTTTTTACTGTCCTCAACGCATGCATACTTTGCCTTTGGACTTCTTTCACCTGCAATACAGTTACAATGACCTACTGAATATGTTTCCATACACACGTTAAATATAGCATTGTTCACAACACTAGGACTACAATAAGTACATATTGTGTTTACATTTATGTCAATAACTATAACATTATTAATACTACATCATGTACAATATTCCACATCCATTCTTACTTTCTGGCTTCATGTTTCTGGGCCTCATTTTGGACCCTTCGGTGACATCCACCACATCTGAGAAAAAGAGAAAACACAATCAAATTGAATTTCAATCTCGTACAGCATAGTATTATTAAAAGATTTGTGTAAAGTACAATTTAGTCGTTGGTTATGAGTGTGAATGGTGATACACATAAAATATACTTAAAGGTGGGGTAGGTAAGAATGGAGAAACCAGCTCGAGTGCGCTAGAATTTGAAAGTACACAATCGGAAAAAATCTGCCTCTTCCTTCAGACTTCCTTACAGAGCCCCTCCTCCAACACACACGAACGCGCACATGACCAATGAGGGCACGAGATAAGTTTGTGCACAGATGGAAGGCTGACAGGCAGGTAGGCCATCCAGTTATTTTAGCCGGGCCGGCTCAGATGATTGGTCGTGCTTTTTACAGCGCTACGGCTTCCACAGATGAAATTTTGTATCTATTTATTGTCAAAGCATTTAATATATTCATTGCTATCGGGATGTTAAGAGCATTCCATGGAATATAACAAAAAGTGTTTCTGAAGTGAATTACCTACCCCACCTTTAAGACGTAAAGTAAATAAGAAAATTTAAATTAGATAGTGCAAGTAAATGCAGGAATAAGTTAAGAATAAAATGAAACACAATGTGAAATGTAATACTGTACTATAATGATATTTAACTATGTAGATATCGGGAAAGACAGCTGTATCGAAGAACAGCGTATTTTGAACAAATGTAAGTGGTAATATCAGGAATTCAACGGTGGTCAGTGGGATAAAACTGTCCCTGAGGCTGGTACAAAAACGTGAACTACACTCTGAAATCACACCTGACAGTCTTACCTGAAGAATTGTCCGTGTTTTCCGAGTCCTCCTTCGTGATGGGGCGTTTGGAGGGAAGCTGTAACCGTGGTTTGGCCACAGCAGCGTCACCATCATCTGAGGAAGACTCCTCTTTCCTCTTGTTGTCATTTTTTGACTGGACAGGTTTCTTCCGATGCTTGCTCGATGTGTTGGGTATTCCTAGCCTTTCGCACAATTCAGGTAAGGATATGGCGGTTTCCTTGCTTTGAGGAAGAGCCTTGTTGCACATCTTTAATCAGGAGCAAAAACACACATGTTCACAAAAATACATAACCAAGAGTTTAAAGCACACATGTCCTTGATTCATTGATGAGTATATATGTTGTGATTACGAACCAACCATTAAAACATCAAAGTCACCCAAATAAGCTAATGGGTAGTGTAGACCAACATCTCCTTAATTTGGGGGTTGGGGGAGGGAGATAAACTTTGGGTTTTTTCACCGTTGCAGATCATTTACATGCACAAAAAACGATATAACACACTACAGGAAAGGGAAAACCCCAAAGAGCATAATAGGACCCTTTGAATTGGATTTGATTCACTCCTGTGTATGTTTTCTGTTGGTATCAAGTGGTTATAATAAAGACAAACGTATGGGATGTTTTGATCATAAAATATGATGTTTTGTTTTTTGATTGGTTGATACTGTAAACGCTGACTATGGATAAGTTCCTCATACAATCGCACTTTAAAACATATTTTGTGAAAATGGCATCTGATTCAGTTATTGAACCGACTGTCAGCCTTCAGAACAGATTTAGCTATTAACACTCACCTTAGCAAACACCTGCGTCCTGTGAAGAGAGCTCGGCAGGGCCAGGATCGACATGAAGAATATACGCAGACTCGTGAAATGTCTGTTCATATACAATATCTATGAAGAGAACACAGGCAGACATTGTAATTACTTTTGATAGCTTCAGAACCAGCAGTTTTTCTGCAACTTAACAATGGTAAATCAAATCAATATATATATATATATATCATTCAAATGAGGACACATTTTTTTTTCTTCTGAATCATGAGCTACTGTAGGAAATCTGTTACTCATTAAGTTTACCTGATAAGGTAACACCAGTATTCTTCACTTAAAAATGTAATTTGATAATCGTAGGTAACGTTGCTCCATTGTGTTGTTAGTTTACCTTTTTCCAGCCGACACTTTGTTCCTTCTTTGTGGTATTGACGAAATGGATGTAGCTGCTGACCAGACTTTTCTTTCCGATAACCCCAGCTTTCAACAGACCCAGCTGATCCGCCATCTCTCTGACCACTACAGCGGGCAATTTATTTCCCTGGAAGAAAAACACATATATCAAAAGGAAGCAAAATACAGATAGTGAATATGCGGCGCATCCAGAGATTCAAAGTGTCTTCTATTTTGTCATAACAGTTTTAATACTGTGTATATATATATATCTAATTCTGGAGAGAATTTTTTTATTTTTTGGAGAAAACAGCCCAAATATTTGATATAGTCTAGCAAAGACATGTTTGACTGCATCCCTAAACATCTTCCGGCGCAGACTAAAAACTCATCTCTTTCGACTCCACTTCGAGCAATACAATTACTAACAAAGCACTTATATACTAATAAAGGACTGGCTTATCTAAAGCTAGTTGAGTAGCACTTGTTTTGGCTCTATGAAACCTGATGTACTTATATGATTCTGTTTTCTTCAAGTTTGTATCTTCTTGGTTGAATGCACTTATTGTAAGTCGCTTTGGATAAAAGCGTCAGCTAAATGCAATGTAATGTAATCCCTACTATGATTTAGTTTATTGTATTCATTTTAAATATACAATCCGTATCATACAGGCTCAACAAATGTTAAGCAGGAGCTGACTGCATTAAGTGTCACTTTGAATGAACCAAAAAATATATCCTTACGTTGATATCCTCAGAATGTCGCAGCACCCTGCTCATATTCCTCAGTGCCACATCCCCCAGATTCTCAGGAAGACTCTCCGCAAAACTCTCCAGTGCTGCTTTATAGAAAGCTTTCGCATCGCTCAGGAAGACCTTCCTGTCCGCTTCCCCCAGATCCACGACAGCGCTGGCCCACAGGAAGTCTCTGGCACTAGAACCAACGTGCACCTCTTTGACAGGGAGCAGGTCTGAGTTGGTTTGGAGGTGATTCACGTTTCGGCTGTTGAGAAAATTCTCTGTGGCGGAGGGCCGGAGCAGACTGGACGCAAACGAGTGCATCACCATGGAGGCCAGCTGGAGCTCCACGGGCACGCATGCGTTGTCGGAGGCCTGCAACTCTTGAAGGGCTCGGATGGGCTCCAAATTTTGGGCGAGGAAAATGATGCGCAGGCGGATTTTATAATCCAACAGCTGGGCTCTGATACGGTTGGCGTCCTCTACTTGCTTCAATGACTTAAAATACTCCACTAAAAGCCTCCAGCAGTCGACCATCTTCTGACAAGCGTGGATGATGAACAGACACTGTGCAGCGATGGGAAGGGAGGGGTTATAGTACTTCTCATCAGCAAATAGGCCTTTCACACTGTCACTGACGGAGGGGAAGGTGTAGTAGTGGTAGTGGATGTCTCTAATGAGGTCAACCACGCAACTAAAGGAAGACAAGAGTCCGGCCTGGCAGGCGCGTGACGCCATCCCGGGGAGGCCGCAGAGCGATATGATATTTTGGTTGAAAGCCTGGAGGTGTGATAGAAACACGTTGCTCACCCTCAGGTTTGGAGCGTTACAGTAAAACACAGCGGCGTTGGGCAGCCAAAAATCATTCCTCTTCAGCTCTTTGATTAGAAGGCTTGCATCAGTTTCAGCGTGTGTGTGCACAGTGTGTATGTCTACGTCCTCTGAGTTCTGAGGGTCAGCATAGCTGCCGCTCAGCTGCAGCGTGAGCAGCGGCTTTACCACACTGACACCTGAATTTTGGTCGAAATATCCCACCAGGACGACACTTGTGTTCTTTTCTATGCCCAGCTCCACGTCCAAATACAGGTAGAGGCAGTATGGCAGGGAGTAGCAGGTTTTAATGACGTCCGCGAAGTGGGTCGGACTTAAGAAGGCAGAAACTGAAGGGTCTGTACTCGTGTCACTGCAGTATCTTCTGATGAAGAGCAAAAAGGTTTCATGACTTTCTTCATCTGCTTGCGCCTCCTTTTGTTTCTTGATTTTTTTCCTTTCCTCTGTCTCCGCTGTCTCTCGCCCCGCTTTCGCATCCGCCTCAGATTTCAAATTTAGTTTTTTTTCATTTGCCGCTCTTCTGACCTCGTTCTCCTCATCACTCTCTGGGGGATCAGATGGGAGTGAAAACACATTACAAGTGCTTTAAGACATAAACACTTAATATTACTGGCTTTATATCCCTAAAGCTTCATTTTCATTTTTTTATTTTCATTATCTAAAGCAAAAGAAGGCAAAAAACGTTTGCATTTTTTATCTCTCTGCGTGTAATTAACCTGGCATTGATATAGTATTATGTTAATGCGAGGGCATCCAATTGTGACTTCTGCATTAAATCTGCTTATTCAAACATAAGTCCAGCATATCAAACTGACTTCACATAGTTGTAATAGTCTAAATAGAGCATTTAAATGGAAAAATACTGATTGTGCAAACATATTCAAACTTTGTGAATTGATTTGGGAACATGTAGGTTCAATTTTGTCTTGTGTAAATCAGGTAGTACCTATCATGAAAGAACACATTTAATTGACCATCTTATATAAAACAAATTCCCCTTTTTACAGTGTCATGGCTAAAGATGAAAACCTATGTGTTAGGTCATAATGAGAAAAGTAACTTGTAGTGTTATATTTAATGATTACAGATAATGTTTTAATTTAAATATATTGGTTTTGGTGTGCTACTCATTGTGTATATGCTCTATATAAAAATACTGAAAACCAAAAACTAATTCTGCATTCTGTAATATTTCGGATTATGGTGTAAATGTGGCAAATACACAAATATTGCATATTTCAGTCACCCACCCCTTTGCAATGGGCAATATCTGTGTAACAACTGTGTGATTCATCCACCCACAAACTCTTTTCCTACCTGTGCGAGGAGGAGCAATATTCTTTCCACCTCTGGCCTCAAAGGCATTGTACTCCCTGGTCTCACTCATGTTCTTCTTAAAGAAAAGGTAAAACCAGTTCAGGAATTGCAGAGTGACCGATACGTTCCTTGCCATCAGCGGTTCAACAGGGATGTACTGGAAACAGAGAAGAGGCTTTAAACTTTCATATTCACCAGTCAAACATATTCACACCTAATTAAACAAAGAACATAAGAAAACCCTTTTGATAGATAACTAGCATTAAACATTTTATTTTTTAAATTGTGACCAACATATGTACATATGTAAAGAGATACTTTACAGCTAAACTAAAAACTTCCAGGGTTCCTAGGTGAAATGTTTTTAACTACCTAAGAAAAAGAAGTGTCACTTCTACAGGATAACTTAGTGTCTTATTGCTCAACATAATAACTAATATCATACGTGCAAGACTCTGGACGTAATTTTTCAACTGTCCTTGATTTATTGGTCATTCCCCACTTTTGTTACAATACTCACTCGTAATACTGCAACTTTTCTGAATGCAGTTTGCAGTAAACTGTAGTTGTGGAGAGAGTCCACATTTTCATTGCTTTCGAATCGGACGCTTGAGAGGTCCAGGGTTTCAGGAAACAGGCAGTCGATGAGCTGGCAAAAGGCGGCGCCTGGATGTTCACACAAACACACACACACACACACAACGGTAATCAATGATATGCAGTCAGGTCGGCTCAGAGTCCACCATCAACACAAGTATACACAAAATATATACTTCTACGGCCTAGCTCATGATGATGTTTGTTGAGGTGTTATTCCCGCATTTAAAAGTATGCATGTTGACCTACCTGTGTATACCTGCTCCAACCCGGCGAAGCCTGCCTGTAAAGTCGAGTTGAGCCAAGCCAGCACCTCACTGCGGTTTGGCTGCCTTGCATAGGCAGGTACATTCACTGCCACGTTCATCATGGCCATCTTCTAAAGGGATTGACCTGCACAAACACCACAGAGTCAGACAAATACAAACACTGATCCACCACACATATTACGTTTTAGATGTCACATTCCTGACCCTATCACAATTTTAAAAAATGTATTTTCTTATGTGATTTGGAATAAAATGCATGGAATTTATCCCCCGGGAGATATGTGGGATTAATTTTAAATTAAACATTTCATTTTTGTATGTGACAAAATAGCAAATACATCACAACTAGCCATGAATCATTGGGCTAAAAAACGAACAGCTCTACTTAAACGTCAAAAGCTTTGATCTCTTTCAGCAGACTTCTGTGCTGTGAAATTAAAGATCAAGGAAAAATAACTGCCAGTTGTTGTCAAGAGTCTACTACAGGGAGGTTTACTACAAATTGAATTTTACAGGAATATAAAAACAATATCATGTCATGAGGCAACAACGCTGCAAGAAAAAAAGCAAAATGCTGGAGGAAATGCAGTGATTGTTTAAAAAAAAAAATCATATATTTATATATCTAGCTAGATGCAATCTACGCTTCCCTTTTTTTCTAATTTAACAACTGTGCTCTCTACAGATCTTCAAAACTCCCTTCTACTACTCTTCTTAAAACTTGATACAGCAGATTAAAACTATATTATCTAGTAGCATTCAGGTCTGAAACTGTCCAATAATAAAGGATACGTGAAAATAATTGTATTATACCACATTCCATATGCAAGTAAGCTTCATACTAATCTATAATATTGTACACTATTGTTTTGCATGCCACCTGCACATTTATAAGAGGCTTATTTTAGAGCCCGTGTGGGCAAATCAGACTGTTCAGTTATTATAAAGAAATATAATACACACAACCAAATATGAGAAAAGAAAAACAGAAAAACTAGTGTAGGCTACAATATGCCCTGCCTAAAAGAACAATCATACAAGACACAGTATTCCTGTTCTGATCATCTGCATCACCTAGGTTGCCGCTGTAAACACAACAACAAAGAAGTAATGCATTGCAAACAGTTTGTGCTATTGCAACTTCACAGCTTAACATAAATAAAGTATCCCTTTCTCTGAGAATCTGAACTGCTCCGAGATTTACTATCGACTTTAATTCGACACTATTTTCAAAGGAGCTAGTTATTGCACGGTTCTTTTTAGTTGATATAAACCGCAAACACTAGGATATAGAAAACTCTGGATTTAAGCTCAACGTACCTAGCTAACACACTAATCTCGCTTCGTAATACACCGCTCAGATGTGTTGTGGCTCTGGTTGTATCCATCCACTGTTTGCTACTTCCTGCACATGCTAAGATGCTAACAGATAGCTGCTTTGGGCATTTCCGGCGAAAATGCTGCATTCATGTCCTTTCTAAGTGCCGTTCACCCCAGCTCCAGTATATGATAAACAAGCTACAGCTATGAAACTAGGGAAGGGCGATGTGCTCCAATTGATTTGACTCCGGTATACTTTAAATGTACTCTCAAATTAGAATCAGAAGTGAAATTAACCAGCCGATGTTTCTTCTCACAAACTTTACAAATGACCAAGAATACAAAGACTTATCCTTTGAGGCTGAACATTAAATGTAACACGTGTTTGATAAAACAAAGTATTAGACCAATTTGAACGCCAAAATGTTTTTACAATCATTTTTATTATTTTACTATAACCGTATGGACGTGAATGCAACCATTTCTTTGTCCAATCATATTAGAGACGGTAGTATTCTGACCAATATAATTGATAGAATCAGCACTGATGAGTTCTGCAACGCAGAGATTGTTACCGGTGTCAGATAAAGTATCGATGCTAAAGTGATTTGAAAAACGAATCATCTAAACTCAGATCAGCTGTTTCACAGATAACAGATTTTTTTTTACAAGCTCTACGTACAACTTTGACCGGAAGTGAAGCTTTACTTGAGGCGAACTGAGGGGGGAGGATGTCGATGTCGTGTCCAAACAATAAACCATAAACAATTAATCGAGAGCTTTACCTTCCCTAACCATGTGTTGAAGCTGATTGCTACAGTAGCATCACCACATAAGAACTTTAACGTTCAGAACATTATTTTATAAAAATGTTTTAAATTATAATTTAATGTTGGCCGTTGTTCCACCATATTTACAACTGTTTGCTGTGACTTAACTACGCAAACGCCCGGAGCAGCCGTTATAACAGTTAACAAAGCCTATCTAATAAATAGGATATTCAAACTCAGACAGAAAATATCTATCTTTTTAAAATCCCGTCGATTTAGCTTATTTATTTCAAAAAGGAGATGAGTTTAAGGAAAGTGTAATTGTTATAATAAATTCACGTTTTAGCTTGCGTTAGCCGTTGTGGCTAAACAACGCAAACTAAAACGTGAACTTATAACAATAACTTCACGGCACTGGAGCATCTATGTATGATGGCGTCATGACGTACAGTGGAGTACGTGTGCAGAACTAAAAGAGAGTGTGCGTTGAAAAGTAAAATATTTGGCAAACTATTCGATAAAGCAGTTGAGAAAACATCGTCTACTCACCCTCTCTACCTTGTTCCTCCTTCTGGGTATTTAAACTACCAGGATCAAATCATTGAACCCCCCTGAAGCCCATAACACGCTCGCCCGCCCCTTCGATACCCGGCCTTAGCTAATGTTACCTACTCCTTCTTAATATGGGGGATTGTCAATGTAATGAAGTAGGAAAAGAGACGAACTTTACAAAAGTACTACTATGCGTTAATTATTCTGACAGTGATTAGAAAAATATGTCACTTAACAGTTCATGTATATGTATACTTTGCTAACAACCACTGATGTTAGCATGATGAGCTAAGCAGGGCATGATTCCTGGCTAGCTTTTTACCCCCAAAGCTAGCACATTAGCAGCTAGCCGACATAACTAGCTTCATAATACTTCAGTTGAAACTTTAATTAAATCATTATTGTCTTAAGTGGGCATAATATACTGTATGTGACGTTATTTTTAGGTTAAAAAAGGCAAGGGAAAACCTGACGTGCCAAACCCCTCAATGCCCTGCTTTCAATACAAATATTGGACATCAATGCTACACAGAACGATTCCAAAAACAGATGGTTTGGTAGAATGTACGAAGTAAACCATAACAAATCAGGACATTTAATGACAATTAATCATTAGTCTGGCCCATTTCTCACCATAAAAGGAGGTAAACATTGTTTTTAAAGAAAAGGCCCAACGCTTTGTTCACATCTTTTTTTCTACAAGTAAAAAAAAGTGAAAATGAGACTTCCGTCTCGTTTTCACTTTAAATGTAGGCCTTACGTTTATTGTGCTTACACTAATTGAATTGATGGCAAAGACAGTGTCATACACATGCACACTTTGATAACATTGGGTTATGCTATCAGAGGCAATCAGGACATTATAATGTTATAATATAAAGGTAGGCCTATACGTTTTAGTAACTAATTCTTATTACATTTTAATTAGATAGGCTACCCTAGTCTTTCTCTTCAATGTAAATATTTCACAGTTCCAGCTGCATGCCATATTAATTTAACAAGGCCAAAGTCAAACCACAATGACATGTGCCTTATCCCTAAAAAATCCTTATCTAATTTCTTCTAAATAGCATTAAAAAGTCAAAAGTGAAGCCACCAGAATATACACCGGCACATAAAACATTTCTTTTACCTCACCTCAAAGGTTTCCTGTTATATTCAGTTGAGATCTTAAATATGCCTACATGTAAGCTTCTCATGGATAAGCAACTTTTGGTACCACTTTACAATAAGACTACCCTTATAAAGGGTTTACGAATAGTTTGTAATTCATTTATTAATTAGGTTGTGAACACTTTATAAATCATTAATAAGCTTTTATAAGACATGAGATAAACAGGGCAACTGTGACCGGTTGCTTGCCAAATAGTGAGCCCACATTTATCTGTACTGCTAAGTCTTATATTGGCTAATTAGCATACTTCGTCTTCTTCATCAGCCAGCATCCTTGGTATCTGTTGTTCACTGAGTTGATTCTCGCTAAGTAGCCAATATAAGGCTTAGTCATCTTGCCAAATAGTGAGCCTGTGTTGACGTATGCAAACTATGTTAGAACTGGTTTATAAATGGTTCTTAATGATTAATAAAGTGTTTACAACCTAATTCATAACCTAATTATAAACCCTTTATGAATCCTTTATAAGGGTAGTCTTATTGTAAAGTGGTACCGCAACTTTTTATTCAATCCACATGTGCTTTTCGAAAGTTGTCCCACAATCAATTTTAAGATAACTTTATGACTAAGTGTTGTGAATTTGTCTATATTGTTATGATTAATATTGCAGTCACTAGATAATTGTTTGAGGATTAACATATAATGAAATAAATCTAATATGCAACTTCATTTACCTTTACAGACCTTTTGCCAGAGTAAATATTCAAAGATAAATGCACACAATTACATTAACATTTCAAGCACCAAACAAGGCAGTGTTTTTAGCAGCCAAGCTGCGTTTTATTGAGTAACAATTATACATATAGGTTTCTATAAGAAGTACACAAGCAAAAAAATACATCAACACTTTACGACTATTCAAATGTAGTATAAAAATAGCATGGAATCTATTCTTTTGAAATGCTTTTGCACTCTAGATTCATATAAACGCTTTTAACAAAATGAATAAAAGATAAAGAACAAAAAAATGATAGAAAAACGTTCTATATCACTCACACTCAAGCCTACAATTAAACAATGTCTTGCAACTAAACAACAGATATTGATTAACATGCTCTATATCAGGTTATAACATTACAAATTGAAAACTTTAAACTGTCAATATATACTCCTGCATGTGTTTTCAATGAAAGAGCAGTTATAACTAGAATCTTTAACGTACTGTTTTCAAGCAAAACATTCAATCACCTCAGCAGTAATAATGTAGCATGTAAACAATTACTCTTTTTGAAGGAATAAGAAATCAGGCTTTATAACTAAAAGGGGGCCCTCAGAACACTTAACAGGAGTTGAAATTAAAGTTGTATTTTAACTTGAAAGAAAATAGTTCAATAAGGTTTGTGCATCTTGTGTTAAAAAAAGAGACAAGAGTTAAAGTACTTTTAAACCTTTCTATCAATAGAGTATGCAAAACATTGTGAAAAAAAAAGTTCCAGTGATAAAATACAAGCTACAGTATACATTTACAGGGCATGTGGGAGCATAAAGCTACAGTATGAATTCACAGAACAGAGATCCTATAGGAGGAGTGATGTAAAGTTGCCCCTTTTGGCTGAGGTAATGCCCATTTGTTATGATTTGGTGACAGCCAACAGCATTGAAACATCTTCCAGTTATCAGAGCGAAACCATTTCTCAAAGGCACACACCATATTTTGAGAGTTTGGTCGCATAAAGGTAATTGGTATCAAGATAAACTGACCAGTAAATCCCTCCCTCTGATGGAAATGCTCAAGCATACATATGCCATCTTATTGCTGTCTCACAGTAAAACTCTTCTTCTGGCAACAAATGTGCGCCACTTACATACAAACAGACTCTTTGTTTTCTTACAATTACTGAGCACTATTTATACACACTGTTAACCGGCGCATGTACATTACACCAGCCTAGTCTCATGAAATTGTATTCCCATACATAAAATGATATTTCCATGCAAAGAAATTATGTTGTCAATTACGTTTCGGATTACGTTTGCTTTTGACATATTACTAATTCAAAAACCTTGATGTTTCCTGAATATAACTAAGTAGTTTTTATTATGTTTTGTTTCAATCTTTAGTAGACAAAGAGTATTTGCATGGTAGTTTTCTTGCCAAAAGTTTTAGAAACTCAAAAAGATATTTTACAAAAAATATTGCGTGTTCACCAGTGTTTGCCTACATTAAAAAAAATTATACAGTGCCACTCTTTCCTGGAATCAAATAAACTTATTTGAACAAGTATCAACCCGTGTAGAGATTACGGTGAACTAAAACAATGTTTTTTTAAGGATAAAATCTTAACTTTTAGGGTATTAACATAAATGCTATCACTCTTTTATTCTTAGCTGTCTGTAATGGTTTGCAAAAGGCAAAAAACGACTTCTTCTTACAAGTCGTTTTTTCATTGGCTTGTTTCAAGTATTTGTATCAGGGAGACATTATAACTCAAAGTTTCACATTATCTATACAAAAACATGTTTATATAATATTTAAAACATTTTCTTTCTTTTTAAGGAAGCTATTTTACACCTAAAATGTCATCTCAAAGCAAAAGGTAAAATTATAGTTGTGTTGCGTCAAAAAACGATGAAAATGAACTATTCTAAAATAA